ACCCCCGGCTTTTTCAACCGTTGAAAAATATCCGATATGTCTTTCCCCCTCCCCCCCCCCCCCCCCCCCCCCCCCCTCCACCACCACCACCCAAACACAAGATTTATAGAGTTAAAAAACATATGGGGTTGGGCTGCTGGGGGAGGGGAGTTCCTTGTGCCGCCTACTGCCTGTGGTCACACTCACATATATCACTGATTATTTCATCCACTGTTTCCTGTAGGTTTATCAAGTCTACTGGAGCAGACCACACAACGTGAGCCAGGCGTAACTCGTTTATAATATTGCACGATACTTTTTTGTCTTCTGCCCTCTTACTTCCGTATAGGGTCTCACTCTACTCACCGTCGTCTACAGCTTATGTCATACTTCTATTTCAATAATATAAGTAAAACTGAAACCGATACCACTTGAAGTGGAAGTATAACTACCCAGTAGTACATATGTATTAGACCATGTGTTTAGCATGTGGTGTAATTATATATCCACCACTCAACCTAAGTTAAACACATCAACTTACCGACATATTGTTCTTGCCTCCAAGTGAGATAATAGTGATTTGTGCAATTTGATCCACCTGCTCAGATCTGTTGACAGAGAGCTGTTAATTCACCGACAGCACGGAGATCGTTCTACTCTTCACGACAGCAGTGTTGTGCCATCACAGACCACGCCTGCCTCGACGACCGTCAGGGGCGCTTTCCTGCAAGAGAGAACACATTTGGAGCCCATGGTAATGTGGATCATAACGCTGTATCAGGGTTTTTAGATATGGAAATATGAAAATAGTTATGATCAATCAATGAATTTCAATGAATTTTGCAATATTGTAAATACAAGCATTTTTCTCCGAATTTTACACCTCCATGGCTTTTCTTGGAGCTCTTCTGGAAAAAAGAAGCAATAATTGATTCAAGCAGCTGATAGCGGTAAGTAGGTCATGACTGTTCTTTCGTCGCTTTGCACGCTTTATCTAGAAGGTGAGTGACCTTAGAAATAATGCAGTCATACACCAGATGTCCTTGATACGTAGTACTCAACTTAGATGATGGTTTTGGTGAGTTTTGACTTCTGTTCTGCAAAGTTGTTGACACAACAGCTTCCCTTGGTGCGCGAGCACTGACTGAATCAGTGGAACAAATTTAGTCGAGTTGCCAAACTATTTTTGGGCATCTTTTGCTTTGTCAGATAAAGTTTTTTCTCGGTGGTTTTTACATCTTTATTTCCACTGTAATGGGTATTTGACTTGTGACAAGCGTGTATCCTCGGGCATTTAAAGAAAACAATTGGTTTATATTTGATTTGACTAAGAAATTGATTTCGCTTAAAAAAGAAAAATTGGCATTAATACAAACATCCTAGCGCTGTATATACCCTAGTCAAGGGTAAAGGCTGATTATTCAGTTGTGTGTAGCAGTTGAACCCGCATTATGCAATCATCATCTATACCCCATAACAGTTCTAGTATGCATGCAGTTTTTTTTCATACAAAATATACTTAATAATTATGATGATATAATGTGTTTTTCTGCCTTTCAGCTCAGGTTTATTTATAACATATCTCACCTAGTGAAGCCTGGCCCAAGTTTTGTGTGCTCCAGTTTTCACTGCACAAATAAATCACTGCACAGCTCTGGTCTCAGAATGACAGGTACTGTACTAGTATGTATAGACAGTAGAACAGTGTAAAATAATATAAGATAATTATATTTATAAGAGGGTCCTGGCTGCTGTACCACCTAGCAGTCAGTGAGTAACAACACTACAGACATCAGTCAGGTGTATGCCTACGTCCAGGATGGATGAATGCTATAACGGCATGAAAGTTTTTCAGCTTGTGTTTTATAATTATCATATATGAACCAACTGCCAAGCTGATATTTGCTCATTAACAATAGAAATGTTTGGATCTCATATTGTGACTATAAGTTAAAAGATACTTTCAGAATTATTTCAAAAAGCAGGGCATGTGCATCTTCCTTGAAGGATTGTAGAATTTCATGATTTTTTACATTGAAATATATTATGAGACTAAGTCAATGAACTAATATTCACTACCTTGTCATAAATGATACATAAACTACCATGGTGTTATAGGACAGTATTTCATCAGTTTACCAACTCTTTTTTAAGCCCCTGTCGCTAATGATGTAACCAGCTTTCTAGACAAAGTTCACCAGTTAATGATTAGAGAATGCCTTGAGAAAGGAAAGTCTAGAGATGGGAAAGTGGTGGAGTTCTTACAGCCTGAGGAGCTACAGGTACTTCCTTCCTTCCTTCCTTTTTTTCTTTCTCTCAGTTCATGTTCTTACATCTTTAAAATTATTTTGCAATTGCTTTCCTTCTTTTCTTCTTTATGTCTTTCCTTCTTTCTTTCCTTCTTTCTTTCTTTCTTTCTTTCTTTCTTTCTTTCTTTCTATTCATGTTTATATTTAATCTTTTTAAATTTCTTTCTTTCTTGATTATAAAATGGAAGTTGTTTTGTTTTCTTAAAGAAAGAGATGCAGTTTCCAGTCGGAGATAATCCAGAGAGCCATGACAAGCTGCTGGAGCTGTGTGAAAAGGCTGTGAGATATAGTGTCAAAACTGGTGAATAAATATATTTATATTTACTAACATTGCATGGGTCAGGGATGCACATTTTTAAAGCAGACAGTGAGATTATCGTCAAGGTCATTGAATTTGTCAAAAGAGCATACAAATTGTGCTTGTTGGCTTTGATAATCTGTTTCAATTTATATGTGTGCGTGTGCACTGGATCATTTTATCTCATAATCATTTGTTTAATCAACAGAGGGCACTTTTTGGATATTTTGGTATGGATCTTTCCATGACATATTTTCCTCCATCTTATCTCATACTTTTTCAAAAAGGTTTTCACCTCTCCACCTCGAAATCACAACACAAATCAACCTTAGCTGATTTTAGAATTCTCAGAGTAATTAAAAAAAAAAAAAAAAAAACTGAGGTGGTAGACATTTTAAATAAGAAATAAAATATGACATGGTTATAGTAGGGAAAGCTGGAATCTATGAAATGGTCTCTGTTAGAAAATGGGTATGATTTTTGCATGTCGCCTTTTCCACTGTAGGCCACCCGAGGTTCTTCAACCAGCTGTATGCTGGTGTGGACCCCTACTCCTTAGCTGGGTCATGGATAACTGATGCCTTGAATACTAACAGGTACAGGGGGAGCTTGGCTCTATTGGTTTGCACTATATTTCATTTTATTAGTATTGATATGAGTATTGGTAGTAGTGGTGGTGGCTGCAGGCAGTAGTAGTAGTGATAGTAGTAGTAGTTACTGGTAGTAGTAGTAGTAGCAGTGCTGTATACATAGTAGTAGTGGTATTGGTAGTAGCATATACATTATTATTTGATAAAATATGAACTGTTTCATTAATCTCTGTGTGCTGCCTTTCTCTTTTAAAGTCATTTGATCCTAAGGAAGGTTACTTATGGTTTAATGTTTGAATCTGAGCCATGAAATGAAGTGATGTCAAAGATATTGGGCAGTAACAGGATATGATATTTTTAATATTTAAATTTCTTTTTGATTTATATATTGATTTAAGTGTGTTTTTAATTTGCATATATGGAGTTGTACACCAAAATGTTTTATTCATGTAATTTTTTTTTTCGTGTGATTTTAAGTATATATTTATTCTTAAGCCACACCTATGAAGTAGCACCCGTCTTCCTACTGGCGGAACACTACCTCGTTCAGAAGATGTGTGGTATTGTGGGATACAAAGATGGCGATGGCTTATTCAATCCTGGTAAGACACAGGTTACAGTATCGTGAGGTTTTTGACCTCTTTGTTAGCCTCTTCACCTATAACTTGCTGTAATACAAATAAGAATTTCTTTTGTTGACTTTTCTATGACATACTTCTATTAAATTAATACATCAGTCTAGCTAATATAATATGAGATAGGACTTCAGTGCACAAGACTTCATTATTAGGCATTTTGTTTTAAAATAAAGTCAGTTTCGGGGGTAACATTTTTAAAAAATTTTTTTGTATCCACATTCTTTCTATTTGCAGGTGGCACCTTTTCCAACCTGACAGCCGTCCACGTGGCCAGGTATCAATACAACAAACAGGTCAAGAAAACCGGCCTCTTTGGAATGCCACGGATGATTCTCTTTGCCTCTGATCAGGTGAGATAACATTGTGGTACATGTGACAGTGTGTTAGGTGTGACATTGTGTTAGGGGTGACAGTGTGTTGGATGTGACAGTGTGCTAGGTGTGACAGTGTGTTAGAAGTGACAGTGTGTAAGGTGTGACAGAGTGTTAGATGTGACAGTGTGTTAGGTGTGACATTATGTTAGGGGTGACAGTGTGTTGGATGTGACAGTGTGCTAGGTGTGACAGTGTGTTAGATGTGACAGTGTGTAAGGTGTGACAGAGTGTTAGGTGTGACAGTGTGTTAGGTGTGACAGTGTTAGGTGTGACAGTGTGTTAGATGTGACAATGTGTTAGGTGTGACAATGTGTCAGATGAGTTAGGTGTAACAGTGTGTTAGATATGACAGTGTGTTAGATGTGACAGTGTGTTAGGTGTGACAATGTGTCAGATGAGTTAGGTGTAACAGTGTGTTAGATATGACAGTGTGTTAGATATGACAGTATGTTAGATGTGACAGTGTGTTAGGTGTGACAATGTGTTAGGTGTGACAGTGTGTTGGATGTGGCAGTGCCTTAGATGTGGTAGTATGTTACATGTGATAGTGTGTTAGTGTGCTAGATGTGACAATTGGATTGATATATGTGCAACATGATGAGTGCTTTGATCCATGTTTTTTTCCCGTTATTATGTGAATAAGATTATGTCATTTAGTAGCATAAAACTCCTTTTTTATGTACAGACACAGATGTGTCTGTACATATTGCCATCACCTGCGTCTGTCGTCGCCGATGGCGATGGCGATGGCGATGCCGATGCCGATGCCGGCGCCGTGCACTTTCCTTGTAAACACGATAAGTGGAGGGCAGTTTTACTTTTTGGCTTTATATTTACAGAGCTGATGAATATTCATAAAACGCAGGTCAAGTTCGAAAATCAGCATGATCGGGCCATTATTGTAGAAGTTATGCTGTTTTTTCACTTTTCAGCATATTTTTCACATTTCCTCAGATTCAATTCTTAGGCATGTTAACAGTCTCATTATTAAACTAATAAGATACGTAAAAGTGTTTGTTTGACATTTCCTGCATCTTTACAACATTGTTAGTTGATTTTGTAAAAATGATGGTAAACTTGTTATCGTGTATTGTGTAATAAAGTTTCAAAAATGGAAATAAACTCATATCATTGCAGTTTGTCAGATTCAATCATTCACTATGTTCAGAATCTCAGAATGGAAGAAATTGGACATTTAACACTGCTCTGTTGATATTTTTCCCATCTCATCAATTTTCTTAGTTGATCATATAAAAATGGCAGTAAACTGTTAATTTTGTTTTATGTTAAAAATTGTTAAAAATGAAAAAAAAAACATTTCAGAACAGTGCTGTCTTGTTTACATTTTGGCATTTTCAAGTTGTGACTTTGAAGTTCCATGGGCCTGAAGACCTTTGCTAGTCACATTTTCTGAACATCCATGATACTAATATTTTATTATTAAAAATTGATGGTCATTATGCTGTTAAACATTATGTAATATTGCATCAAAATTTGAAAAAAACCTATTTTGGGCACTGTTCCCATGATGACCATTTAAGAAAAACCATGTCAATTACTGTTCTTAAACAGTACAGTAAATATATATAGATGTGTCTGTACATATTGACATCACCTGTGTCTGTCGTCGCCGTCATCGCCGTCGCCGTGCACTTTCATTGTAAGCACGATAAGTGGAAGGCAGTTTTACTTTTGGGCTTTATATTTACAGAGCTGATGAATATTCATAAAACACAGGTCAAGTTCAAAAATCAGCATGATCGGGCCTTTATTGTAGAAGTTATGCTTTTTTTTTTTCACTTTTCAGCATATATGCAACACTGTAAACACATTTCAAGAAAAACCGATAGGCTTGTTGTCATGAAACTCACAGGAGTAATTGATCTTACTAAAACGCAAGTCAAGTTCGAAATCGGCATGCAGCCTGAGTTGGAAAAGCAGTCTAATTGGCTTCTTTTTCTGGAAGTTATACATGTTCAAAGTGTGAACTTGAACTCCCATGGGCCTGAAGCCTTATGCTTGTTACACATTTTACTTACATTGGTATTACCTGTTGAGCATAATTAAAATTTGATGTTAAATTTGCAGTTTAACATAATGTACTTTTGCATCAGAATTGACATTAGCCTATTTTGTGCATAGTTATTTCCTGCTTTTTGTCTGTACATTTGACAGCTTTGCTGCCTTGTTAATTTTCCAAGGCTCACTATTCCATCTCTACTGCGGCCTCCTTCCTGGGTTTTGGTTTGGACAGTGTTGTCATGGTGAAGACTGATGAGAGAGGGTGCATGGATCCTCAAGACTTCAAAAGCAAGATACAAGAAACCAAGGCAAAGGTCAGGCAAAAAATTTATATTGAGTTGTTTTCATATAATTATATCTTATACGTTTGTGTGTGAGTGTGTCAGTGTGTGCTTGAATGCATGTGTGTCTGCATAAGATACAAATTGTAGCATTACATAAATCTTATACATTATATTCCATGTTTTTGTTGATGGCTTATATATCTTTTGTTAACTTTCAGCTCTGGAAATTTCTTGAATTTTTAGAAAAGATTTAAGTGTGATTTAATGTGGCAGGCCACAAGAGACTTTCCAACATATAAATTTCTCTTCTCTCCTAATTATATAAAGATACATAATAACCAGATTTTTTTACTCCAGGGTGACATTCCATTCTTTGTTCAAGCCACCGCAGGCTCCACTGTCCTGGGTAGTTTTGATGACCTGAATGCTATCAGCGCCATCTGTCAGGAACATGGGGTGTGGCTCCACCTGGATGTGAGTTATTTATTTATTTATTTATTTATTTATTTATTTATTTATTTATTTATTTATTTTGAAGGGTTTTGGTTATTAGCATTTTAATTATAAGATTTTTATGATTGATTAATTTATCAGATGAACTCTTTCACAAAATCATCACGTGGTATCTAGCTTGTTTTTTACCTTTGTTTTGTTAATATATAGTAAGTTTAAAATTAGTTAATTGATTAGGCAAATAATAAGTGTTTATATATTTATATAGGCTGCTTGGGGAGGAGGAGTTCTTTTGTCGAAGACATACAGACATTTAATGTCTGGTATAGAAAAGTAAGCTGTCATTTTTTCTCACATTTATTTCTTTTGATAAGTATGTGCCTTATCTACATTTTTCCATACCTATGTAAATGGTTGCTTGTTAAAATTGCTCTTAAAAAAGAAGACTATGATATCAAGTTAATAATAACAACCAATTTTCTTCCTTAATTTAGGGATAAAGCTTGCATATGAAGTATATAAATTTCAGTTATAGCAATTGCTTCAATTCAAGTCTTAAGACTTCTTATTATAGCATATATAATATTATTTTCTGGAAAAAGTGTTGTTTTAAGCACATATGTTATGTAATGTTCTAGGTGTGACTCAGTTGCTTGGAACCCTCACAAAATGATGGGTGCTAATTTACAGTGTTCAGTTCTACTTACAAAACAAAAGGTATGATTTTGGTTGGGGTTTCAAAGCCTTTTTATAGCTGTACTTACTGAAGACTGGAGAGGGGAAGGGGAGTATATCCTTGGATAAGGGCCATTCACCTGGATAAGCTCATTAACCAATGACAGAAACATTATTTATTTGTACCTTATTTTATACCAAAAAGAAATAAAAAACAGCAGTTTTGTGTGTGTGTGTGTGTGTGTGTGTGTGTGTGTGTGTGTGTGTGTGTGTGTATTTTTTAAATTTATTTATTTTATTTAAGGGTCTTCTTCTGGAGTCCAATGCTAACAGAGCAGAATATTTGTTCCAACCAGACAAGTTCTATGATACTTCCTTTGACGCAGGTATGGTACTGACTGACAAAAGACAATTCATTTTCCTACAGTTACATAAATTATTTTATGTTGGGTAAAATGCATAATTAAGACGGAAAAATAAAAAGGTTTCTCAGATTGTTAATGTTTTACACTGTCACCTGTGCCACCTATAGCCATGAATGATACACTGTTTATTATGTTTACATTTATTGAATTGCATGAGTTTTTACATAATGTACATACTGTATGGAGCACTCGTATGGATGCAACAATCACACACACATACACATACACACACACACATACACACACACACACTGTATTAATGTCAATACCACCTGTACAATGTTTGTATTATAGGTGACAAGAGTATTCAGTGTGGCAGAAGAGCAGATGCATTCAAGCTGTGGTTGATGTGGAAAGCTAAGGGAGACAAGGCCTTTGAGAATGAAGTGGACAAGGCATATGAGAACTCTAAGTAAGTGCACTTGTTATTTATTTATTTATTTATTTATTTATTTATTTATTTATTTATTTTTACTAGATTCATTTACAATAGTTCACTTGATGTAATTTTCAGTTAATTTTTTGCAGTGAAAAAATTGGTTATTTAAGTCTGTATGCTTCTGAAAACCAGAATCTAAGGAATGATAAGAATTGAAATTAAAAGGTTTTAAACTTGTTGGCACATATGTCAGCTTTGGTTGTTTCGTGTTTTCGTAATGCCCTGTCAATGATGTTTAAAGTGAAGACGTGAAAGAATTATCATTTTGTCACAGATGAGAACTACAAAGCCACTGTTTTAAAATGCAAACTGTATTTATTCTGTATTTATGCAGGCTTTTCATCAAGAAATTGAAGCAGAGAGAAGGATTCCGCTTGGTTCTGGAAAATGTAAATTTATATCACTTATTATAATTCTGTGTTAGTTTTATAACCCATTCCTGTCTTAGTTGAATATTTTTTGTTGGAATTATGACCATGAGCAATTGAAATATTTCCTAGTGATTCTTCATGGATGTCTTAATATTGAAGTTTTATTCTTAACATCTATAATAAGCTTTTTAATTCTGTAGTTATTCACTATGGCCCACTGGCAATATGATGCAATGCAAAAGACCTAACTTTAACGTAATAACCACCTTCATTTTACAGTTCTTGTGGGTTATGAAAAAAAAATACATTGAAAAAAATTGATTGTTTTCTGTTGTTTTTCCCCCAGCCTCAGTGTACCAATGTGTCATTCTGGTACATCCCTCCCAGTATGAGAGGACAAACTGAGGACGAAGAGTGGTGGAAGCGACTCGGTCAGGTAAAAAATACATCCTCAATATGTACAGGGATAAGATTTTTATAACTATCAGCAGATATGGAACCCAAAAATATCATTGGCCTGGGCGGCCCCCTAGACTCCCTGCCATTTTTCACAAATTTTTCCTCTAAATGGCTGTCTCATCCCTGTGTATAGTGTAGAATACCATGTTATGTGCTGGATCACCCTTAAAATGAGGTAGTTGTGCACAACTTACAGTTCTATATATGCCTGCATGTCCAGTTTCTTGGTCTTTTATTGGTGGCATTCAGAAGAATTGACTAACTAGTCCACGGGTCAAATATGGCGACCCACTAAAAGGCTTGCTTTCTAATCCGCTAATAGAGACTAAATAAATTCCCTGTGGGGAAGTATTCAAGTGGTCATGTTTGACCCTCGGATCAGTAAGTCCACTGTTCTGAGTGAGGCCATTGAGATTTTTTTTTCCTATGTATTAACAGGTAGCACCCAAGATAAAGGAGAGGATGACCAAAGCAGGGAACATGTTGATTGGCTTTCAGCCAGTTACCAATAAAGGATGGGTCAATTTCTTCCGTATTATCTTTCGAAACCCCGTTAACGAGCAGGACCTGGATTTCATCATTGAGGAATTTGAGCGCCTTGGCCGAGACCTGTAACCAGTAGAATTTAGATACAGCTGTGATTGATATTCAGCCCTACTTGATTTGCAGTTACCCAGTATTTCTCATTCAATATAGTTGGCCATGCATACTTGTAAGACATAAAAAAATGAAGTGTGCCATAACAACTTCTTTATCTAATATAGAAACAAAACTTAACATGTTTCCCAGCTTTATTAATTTAGTATTACAGATGCTGTATATTTAATTGTTTCAGTGTTTTTTTTTTTTTTTTTTTTTTTTTTTTTTTTTTTTTTTTTTTTTTTGTTCATGCTGAGGAAAGTTTGTGAAGTAGTCTCTGTAAGCATCTATTATGTGATTTGAAAATGATGTCCATGTTTATTAAGATTATACGCAGTTAAAAGTTAGCAGAGAATTATATTTTGCCTTTATTGCTTACCATCCTTGAATAAATAAGGTGTCTGTTAATTATTTTTATACCAAACGTGAAATCTGTTGCCATTTTATTTTACTTATAAATTCTTTTTTGTTGAGTGTAATTTGCAAGGAATATTTCATTTATCTTGTGCAGTTTTAAACTGAGTAAAGTTTATGAAATTGGTTATTTATTAATTTTATAAAGTATTATTATTGAGTGCCATATTTGATTTTTATTTCCAACTATTTTGTAATGGTTATAAAAAGTATGCAAACAAGTTACCAGCTGCTACTTATTTCATTTACATGGAGGTTACTAATAATGTTGTTATTAAGTTTTTTGTTTGAACTTCCATTATGGTTATCAGCATTATCTATTGCAGTTAATTAGTATTTTTTTTAATACTCAGTGGTCAAGTGTACTAAGTACTGTACAGGGCAATTACAGAGAAAAAAGGAACATACAATCATGAACTGAAGGACTGGGTCATATGATCCAGTCTTTTATGATAATTTTTTAGAATCATACTTGTGGAAATCTATGCAATGACTGATCATGAATTACTACACATGGAAAGTAAATTAAACCCATGGTCATTATTTATACAATAAATATGGGAAATAAAATGAAAAGAATTGAAATGATTTGACATTCTTTTTCATAATAATTGTAACTTGTGTAACGGGGTAAATATAGTGCCGGTGTGCATAAACCGGGGTAACGTCGGGGGAAAAGAAACATGGCGGCGTAGCAGACGCTGAGCAGCTTGTGCACTGCTTAGTAGCTTATATATCGTTAACCTATTAAATTTATGAAAAAGAAAGCACAGCGTTGTTGTACTGGATTGCTGAGGAAGTGCACCGCCCCACATTGGGCGCCAATTTTTCGGTCACAACCCGATCAGGAAGAGTGGTGCGGCGACCCACCAAATACAGAGACTTTGTGGCAGCTATTGGAGATGGCTACTAACAGATTAATGCAGATTAACTCTTATGAATGGCATTTTGTGGGTTTCATCAGTTATGATTGTTGTTGTTTTGACAGAGGATTTNCACTTGCTTATATGCCAGTACTATTGAAAAAGTAACAGTACTTTTAATTCAGCTAGTTCAAGTGATTTTTTTGTAAGTTCAAACAAAATTGATTAAAATAGTACAGGAGACGAAATGCTAAACGCATCAGACACCAAACCCACCCAATGCCCCCCAAATGTCGGATTGTCTTGTCTTGCTGGTCGCCATCTGTCGGGAGGAAATAACCTGCTGAACGTAAACAAACATGGCGTCGTCCATCAGCAAAGTTCGCAGTGTTTTCAGGCCCGGTTTATTTGCCGGCAAAGTTGCCATTGTTACTGGTGGCAGCACAGGAATAGGGAAAGCAATAACACAAGAACTTCTGAGTCTCGGTAAGTGTAAATTGCATCCAGAAAAGGTTGAAATTGGTCAGCTGCTTTGAGGAAATTAGTAGTCTGCTTTAGACTAATGATAGTAAGCTTTGCAGTCTCATCACGCAGGTCCTGCATAATCAGTCACGTCCACCGAAAGGCAAAGATGTATGTCAGCACCCACCATGAGGACAATTTCAATCTAGAGGACAAATATGAGGACACATTGTCAATCATGTCTCTGGTTTATTTAGGATACTGGGACGGGGTCAAAATCTATGAACAGATCCTCTACAGATAACAGATAGTCTGTACCGGTGTATATATGCTATATAGGTTATAACTGATTCACATATTGCGTACCTCTGAAATATCTCAGATGAAGAAGTTGTCTCCACATTGCAGTCATGATCTGTCATCCAGATACATATGTCCTGCCAAAATACATGTAGTATGTTTCTTGCCCCAAAGGCATATCCCAGAGTTGCCTCAGTTTTCGGCCTTACAAGCTCACGGTACCCTTACCGCTGGTAAGGCCCTTACCCTTACAAGCTCACGGTACCCTTACCGCTGGTAAGGCCCTTACCAGCGGTAAGGGTACCGTGAGCTTGTAAGGCCGAAAACTGAGGCAAATCCCAGAGGTATATTCTGCTGAGCTCTGCAAAATCACCCACCATATATATCTTGTCATGAACACAGGGGTAGATTTGTCTTAGCAGTCAGTGTCACCATGTGTTTTAAGGTGTACAATGTACTTTCGGCAAGGAGTTAGAACTCCTTGCTCTTGGTTAGTATTGGGTACTTTGAGCGCATATTGTGTATTAAATATCTCCAAATTTTGAGGTATGAAGTTTCCTCTCCATTTCAGGCTGTAAAGTAATGATAGCCTCCAGAAATGAGGAGAGGCTGATGAAGATGGCTGATGTGATGAGGTCTCAGTTGCCTTCAGATGGACCAGCCTGGTTGGAAGCCACTCCATGCAACATAAGGAAAGAAGACCAGGTATTGAGATAATATGTGTGGATATGGGGTGGGTTGCAAGGGTTGGGTAAGGGTGGTGGTGCATATTGTAAGGCTCATCCACAATCAAAGTTGATCCACATACTAAGGGTGCATTCCCAGAGAATTAGATCGATCCGGAGATTTAGATTTAGACCGACCTAACTCCCTGGGGGTTCACGCTAAATTGCAGTCAGCCGAGCGGGCACCATAGTTAATTACCCCCTTACAGCTTTTAGTAGGCGGGACAGACGCTTAAGCCGGCTAAGCTGACAGTAATCTAGTGAGACTCCCCACAGGGATAGATCAATCTAAAATCTATGGGAATGGGGTCTAACACATCCATGGCCAACCCACTTCAAAGCTTGCTGCATCATCATCCTGTGGGGAATCTATTCAGTTTCTATTAGTGGGTCAGGCGGCAAGCTTTCAGTTGGGGCTGCCATATTCGAGCCTTGGATCTGTTAGTCAGTGGATCATCCTTTTGTGAATGCAGCCTATGTGACACAATATTATACCCAAGTCAAGCTTTTCAAGGGGCAGCGGTGGGAGGGGGAGATTGAGGTTTTGCTTTATAACTGTGATTGAATTTTTTTTATATATCTTTTCTTTTGAAGAATACAGGGTTCTTTGCTGAAGTGTTTTTAATAGAAGATGCTTTCATATTTTATAGGAATAAGAAAAAAGATATATTCTTCAAATTGTTTTAAATTTGTTTTAAAGGTTCAACATTTAATGAAGGAGACCCTTTCCAAGTATGGCAGGATTGACTACTTAGTAAACAATGGAGGAGGACAGTTTATGTCACCTGCTGAGGACATCCGACTGAAGGGCTGGAACGCTGTGATAGAAACGAATTTAACAGGAACTTTCCTGTGTTGTAAAGAGGGTGAGTGTGCTATACATGATTGCTGAGGGGGGGTGAGGTTGAAATGTTTTTGAGACTGTCCACATTGAATTTTGTTGACCTAGCTTATGTGCAACGACTCCACCAGGACTCTCGCTGAATGCAATCAGATTAAAAGAAGCCTCATCTTGTTTCCAAAGTATTTGTCTATTCACCAGTTTTTCTGTATTCTACTCAACATCAACAGGAGTTGTGGAGGACATATAAGCTTGGTTTAGTGAAAGTAAAGGTTACGTAGTCATTGTTCTTCTCACTGTCTTTTTTTCAGCATATCACCACTGGATGAAGGAGAATGGTGGCAGTATTGTTAACATCATAGTGGACTTGTGGAAAGGGTTCCCTAGGATGAGGTTGGTCTAACAGAAAGACTGATAAATAAAAAAATTAATAATAAAAAAAATTATGTTTTGACTCAACAGGCTCTTTCACCCCCATCACCTGGATAACCTTGTGATAAGTCTGGAGCTTAATAGCCTCCTTAAAAATTTTAGCTTCGGTATGAGATTTAATTATAATTCCATTGTTCTCTTTGTTTGTGATATGGAGGGCTTAGGATTAATACAGTCACAGTGGCTAACAGTGTGATGCCTTTGTCTCTTGTATTATTTAATCAAAATCTAACAGAGCCAGAGTCATTTAATTATCAGTAAAGTATGGTATGTAAATTTACAATTTATTTGTTATTACTTTCTATCTATTGTATTGAATTATCACTTCAACTGTATGTCTGAATTATCAAAGCTTTTTTAAATGGACAGATTTGATTATTGTTTGATGTTTTTAATTTTTCTAGTTGAATTAACATTTTAATTAAACTTCCAGTCATTCAGGAGCAGCAAGAGCAGGTATCCTCAACCTCACAAAGAGCTTGGCAGTGGAATGGGTGGACCATGGAGTTAGAATTAATTGCGTAGCACCAGTGAGTACCTTGGAAAGGGCTTGGTGTACCTGAAGTTGTGGCAAATTTTAGTGCATAGCCTGTAACCTGAAGATGAATATTAGATCCTTCTGTTTTAAAATAGTTTGTTTATTATTAATGCAAAATTATTAAGTGTAACATAATTTTGCCCATGACTTTAATGCCTGCTGATATATTTTAGACCCTTCTAAGACACAAACGTGTATAATATATAAGTCCAATTTCCTCTTAAGGGTAGCTCAATATATTCAGAGACTGCAGCGGCAAACTACAATGATCCTGAGGTGTTCAATGCCATAATNCATGATAGAGAGCTGTTTCTGTGCTATGTCCTTCTCTATAAGCTGATTGAAACTTGCCATATAGACTGTTTTGAGCTAGATAGTTATTCAGTTGTATACATGCCATTTTCTCAAGAAACTTCCCCAAGAAGGGCAAGTTTGATATTGGTCGATAATTTTTAAACACTTGTTTGCACAGGCCTTGTTTTTTTAACAAGGGTCTAACAATTGCTGCTTTGCAGTTGGATGGGAAGATGCCTGTTGTAAAAGAGAGATTCACTATCTTTAAAATAACTGGGGCCAGAACAGTAATGCACTCTTTGATAATATGTGTTAGTAAATGCTGTCAGAAAAAAAAGTGGTAATTATTTTAATTTATATTTCCAGTTTCAGTTGGCAGTGCTGTTATTTAAGATTTAGGTCATGGCGTTTTCCTTGTCACTTACCATCATTGTAATTACAGCACACATAAATTTTTAGTTTTTCCCTCTGCCCACAGGTGTCAGCAGCAGTGTGTTTCCTGTTGTCTCCAGCAGCAGCATTTATAACAGGGGACACCATTAAAGTGGACGGGGGATCCAACCTGTACAGCTCTGTCTGGGTTATACCAGGTATGGAGAATGATGGATATTTTCTAAAGGACAGACTTGCAGACAGGCAAAGGCAGACAAGCAAACTAATAGATTAACCAGCAGATGGACAGGTGGCCAGACATACATACAGACAGACAAAGACGGGCGGGCAAACAAGCAGATAGACAGAAAGGTGGACGGAAATGGGGACAGACTAACAGACAGACAGACAGAGAGTAGTGAATTTAGACATACAGACCCACTGACATATAAAAAGACAGACAAAGGCACAGACAGGCAGATTAGGATATGCAGTGTATTTACGTCTCATTAAAATAACTCACTTCCATTTGTTTAAATCTACAGCAAAAGCTAGCAATCAAACTGTTCTTTGAAAATCATTACATTTCATGAAATTCATTTTTTTTATTTTCAAAGAACAGTTTGCATTCATCAAAAGTGTTATTTTAAACCAGTTTTTCGGAAGGAAAAGGGTGAATAATACTTGTATTACAACATCGCAAGTCAAACATGATCAGAAAGACTTCAACTTAGCATTTTAACTCTTGGAATCCTGTTGGAATTGGTCAAACAGATAAGAATTTTTGTTTTACATTTCATGCTATAATATATTGTTCTCTTACAGACCACAAGAAGATCCCAGCATTTAAATGGGAAGATGAGGAGGATGATCCAAAATCAAAACTATGACAGAAATCTGCCTGTAATCAAACAGAATACAGTGACGGTTGATAAAAAAACTGAAATTATATTCACTGGATTAAAATGTGAAATGATAAAAGGAACAGTGACAATTTACATATTTAATGCCCTCTGATGAAACATATATAACTTATGCATTAATTTTGTATGAAGAAACAATTGATAGAAAACTGAAATCATATTCATTGTATTAAAATTTAAAATGAAAACAGGAACAATGACATCTGATGAAACATATAATATGACTTACGTATTAATTTTGTATAAAGGAACAGTATGAATATACCTATTGGTTTTTCCAGAATTTTTTTTTCTATCATTTTATCATCAGTTTGGTGATGCTACTGGTGATGTGTTATACTAGACTATCGCTTGAGATACGCAGCCTTATAAGTTGTTCAAGTCATTAAAGTAGTTTTCACTGTGGGCCCCGATGGATAGACTCATGTAATTTACTTTACAATAGACCGGTTTCAGCATCGGACCAAGATTATTTTCAGTCGCATATCTTTAAATTCAATTATAATGAACCAATAAAGATATTATTGCAGCTATTTCATGGACTGTGAAGAACTCTTTGGATAGTGTTTATGCGTTGGTGTGAGACAGAAGTGAGAAAATTATACAAAATTTACACCTTTTTATTGCAGATAAAAAACGCTATCGTACGATTTATAACATATGCACCCTGCAACAGAAGACATTTTGTACTCACTAGTGGCACGACGACAAATGATCCAGCAGTTGAAAGTTACACCAATCCTCCCTTGTAGTCAAATAACGTGATGTAAAATTTAAGAGGGCTATTTCAAAACTTGTTTTATTGTGCAACACATATAAGTATCTTATCCATTTTGTTTCTTAAATGTGCATATTTGGCGAGCACGTATGTGAAATCATTGTAACTTAACTCGTCCAAATGCCCTCACTTAACGAAACACCTCATAATTTAAAGAAACACCTCATAATTTTGTTACATTGTTTCCCGAAAAATGATAATTAGCACAGATATTTTCTGCTATGACGATGTGTAGGCTCGTGATGAAGTTGATTTTTGGCGGAAAGAAAGCAATCGGACATTGTTTAGTTGAAGGGTGTTGCGCGTCTCTTTTGTTTATGACCTCCAAACGGTGAATCCAAGCGTCCAAATCACCAACGAACATTTTGGAACGATTGCTACTGAAAATCCAGGTCAACGTTTATCCTTCCTTCTTGGTAGGGCCAGCAGCTCGAAGTCGTTTAACATATTCTTCACCCCAGTCTCTCAGCAAACCCTACAAAAGACAAAAAAATATGACGGAAGATGACAAAAGCAGTGTGGCATGTGACGATCTGTTCAGGCCTCATTATTATATATTCACCATGGGATCATTTTAATGACGCATCTAATTAGTCTTTTATATTTTTATTTGTTTTAATTTTTGATGAAAAAAGGCGCATTGCTATCTTTGTCTTATAGATGAGTTCATTTTATCATAAATCTGAATATAATTTTCTTAAACTCACTTAAAAGACCGAAAGGTGAAATATTTTTATCTTTTATTTCCAGCTTTACCTCTGCATAATCTAAACTTTTCTTCAGTTTGGACAGTATGAATTTCATCTCTTCATCAGTGTACAGAAACTTTGATATTTCGTACGGTATTGGCTGAAAAAACACGCATTAAATTATACCTTACTAGTAAACATATATATAATTGCACTTTAATATTGTGTGTCGTGTGCACAGAGACTGACTTGCCTTTACACTAATTTCAATATTCTGCGAATTCCGATTACGAAAATCCTGGTTTGACATATCCTACTATATGTACTGTTAATCTGGATTACCAAATGACCTTTTTAAATTCAAAATAAAGGCATCAACTTGAGGGAGGTCTGATCTTTTCCTCTTTTAATAAGTGTGTGTAAAATGTGTGTAAAAAAAGCATGTAAGCAACCTAGCGTGAGTGTACTGCCATGGGGCCTACACTTTACTAGAACGCATTACGTCACCAGTGCATGGTTACGCCACACCACATGAAGCTAATCAAACGATACTATCCCAGTAGAGGGAAAAGGTTGACTTCCTAACGGTTAGGGGTCACGAACACACGGTCTGCTCGGACTGTGCCAAGTAAGACCGTTACAACTTCAGTGGGAACACGACCTCGGACGTCAACTGTACTCACCAATGGTGTCTGTTTCCTCGGCACCGCCACCACGCGTATCAAATAGACTATAATAGTGGCCAGCAGCTTGAGATTCCTCTCTCCGACCTCTGACAGGACAGTAGTGGACAAACCGTAGTCCAGGGGCTTCATCAGTAGCTGAAACAGCATTTGGAATTATTGGATGTCTTGACAAATACCTCTTATAATAAGTTAACAGAAAGTCGTGGTTTCCCATAAATTGGCAAGTTTTCATTTCAAATATCTGACATTAAACAAAGACATCACGTGATATCATACACTGAAAGACTCTTTGACTTGCAAAAAATATTTTGAAGGTTTTAAGGATTACGCAAACGCATAAAAAGTAGCTGATCCTTTTTAGAGACCGTTTTTGTAATCTTGCCTACGGCACTGAAACAGCACTTGTATATTACAGGTGAGTTTACAAGCACTGAATATCACGGAACACATGAACGTTATGATCCCTGATTTAATATTTCCACTGTATTTATCTTACATATTAACAGTTCTTTAGCTTACCGTGGTCACTAAACTTCGAGACAAAAATATCCCAATCAACAGGAAGAACGCCCTTGCGTCTGTGACGTTGGTTATTTTATCATTTTCATCAAACTCCAATTGGTCCTAAAAATATCAATTTAACGTCATTTTTTAAATATTAAAACAGTACATGAAGATAGCTGTAGCGGTTTTTTATGGGACTACCCATCTCGAGTCAAGCGATAGAACTCGGAGACTGCGCTTATCTATACAGTTACGCCTTTTCTCACTCTTTTGGCAAACGTAAAACAGGAAAATTATAAAACATCGTTAATCGTACGGACTTTATTGAGGGTAAAACATATGTACAATGATGCCCTGTGACAAACACGGATCTCCTAGAGCAATCCCCGTGTAATCTTACCCTTTCCATCTGCCAGAAATATCCGGCTGGAAACTCCTTGCCTTCTTTGATCAGCTCAAAGATGGCGGCTTTCTTGTGCGTCCCAAGCACACCAGTGGCGGGCTGGTGAAAAATAAAAAAAATTGTTTTTACATTGTATGATATTCCGTGGTTTTACTTTTCTTTTTTTACAAGTCAAAAGGAACTAAAAGAACTTCAAACGATAACAAAATTGTGAGCATTTTAGCTAAATGTTATGAAATTTAGTTTCATGCTGAACAAAAATCTTCAGTAAATAGAAGTATGTTCTTTAAAATCTCATCAATCGACGACAGCATTTTCCCTAGTTTTCTCAAGTTTATCAAAAGACTGTATGCGTACGGCATATACTCATGTCACTCACCATGATCTCCGTAATATGATAAGTCAAATTCTCCACAATGTAGGTGAGCTCCTGGATATTTTGCTTATCTTCAGGGCTGGTTCCAAACCGCCCTTTGTCCTCTACATATAGATCAGGTGCTCCCTCCCCAACCATATCACTAAGGATCAGGTAGATGTTACCGTCAGGCTGGGGTGGTATAAATAGGAAAATAGTATGATTAAAAGAATGGTGGATATGAAAACATAATGTATTTTCTCCGGTTGAGTTTAAGCTGTTTTTGGGCTGTTCTGTAGCGATTACACACAGCGTGTGAAATACCTACAGGATCGATTTACAAAATCAGTAGGCCTATTTGCCTCACGTTTGTCAATTATATGTCGTCCTTTTTAACTGTACTTTCATAAATAATACTTTGTCTTATTTGTATATTATGATGAAGGTTTGTGACAGAACGTGGTATATACAAAATGAAGAAGAAACAGCTGGCATGCATTTGAGTAAGTGACTGCACTGTATATTACAATTTTAGCATGGCCAATTTGGCTACCCCTGCTAGCTTATGTAATTTCTGCAAATGCGCGTGCCACCCAAACCCAATATAGAGGTGCATTTCACAAGTTCAAGTCTCAAAATATGAAATTGAATGAATTCGATGTATTATCCAATTTTTTAAAACTTACATGTGTATAGAACAAAAATCCACAAATGTCCCAATTTTACGCCCACGCGTTTCTGTTTTGTAAGCAAATAAANGACATCGTTTGCACCTCTATATTGGGTTTGGGTGGTGCGTGTATGGGTAAGCATGCTCTAACATATACTTACGTTGAGGTATATTCTATGTAAAGCCGCCACCGCCTCTTTCAGCTGAATGCCAAAGATGAACTTTTCATTGGGCTTGTTTCCTTTATTCTGAAATCGTAATGACAGGCACAAACAAAACATTCTTCGGTGATTTTTCGATAAAAAATATTGAAAACTGTTAATTCTAACACTAAAATATTTAATTGCTGGCTGTTTGGATAGATTTCACTTACAACGAGAGAGCACTCTGCGTAAATGTTGAAGTACAAGTAGAGTAGATGATAATTTTGTTGCGCTTTGACTCAATTTTCAAGAAGTCATTTTGAAGACGTGGCTTTTAATAAAACGGAATAAAATTAGGAAAAACGATAAAAAATATCTCCAAACAGCTGCAGGCAATATAATAATAACAATAATGATAATCTTTGAAAAACCCCGCTTCGTCGAAGCACTGTCTACAATATTGATAAAGAAAGTTAAAATTCTAATTCACACCGTCTAAAATGATCAATTACACATTCTGCAATTCTACGGGATATCACCTTAAATCAGCAGTAAAACGTCGACAGGGAAATACATAATGCGGGTAAAATAAAACTACATTATTCCAAACAAGATCCTATTACACAATCAGCCACTATATCCCACCATACAAACAGTACCTTTCGCATCTCGGCTCTGAGGAAAGCTATAAACCATGCAGCATAAAATATGTGGCGGAGTTTACGCAGGAGACCTAGGGTCAAAAATATTCGGAATCAAGCATTGTAGAAATAATCTGATTCTGGTTTATTATTTATTGCAATTGATAATTGATATTACTATATACAAACTGGAGTACAGTAGTAATTAAGGTGCAAAAACTCGAAATGCTGTTTACGTAATGTCGTAATGCACGCGTGTGTGTGTGTGTGTGAGAGAGAGAGAGAGAGAGAGAGAGAGAGAGAGATTTTGAAGTTCATACTTACGGGAGCCAGGGAAAGGAATCTTACGAACAAGCTTAGGTTTGGAAGGTGGGGTTGGAGTTGCTGAAATATTAATATATTTTTCATCATTTGAAAAAAAATTTAAAGCTGTTTACAAGAAATATATCAGCATATTATTAATTGCTATAAATTTTATGTGGTAAACAATATGTTCAAAGTAAAAGATAACCCGGGCATTTCTACTTTCAATATTTAACGTACATCGACAGAGATACTAATTCCGATCACTAGTTGGAGATCCGAGTCTTGTCTCTCCTTCAAAGTTCTAGGTATAAAGATTTCAGTAATATAACATGCATAAGACAAAAGAAACGACTGTCATACTTACGTAATTGCACAGGGGTGGGAGGTTTAGAAGCTGGCCGAGGCCGATGAAGTACTGAAACATGCAGTTAAAACATGCACCATGCTAGCATATGAGGCAGCCTTGCTTGAATTTTAGTTAATTTAGATTATCACACAATAAGGCTATTTTTATGATTTATTTAAACATGCAAGGACGCTTGTGTAGCCATTAAACTTTATAGATACACTACCGTTAGTGTCGCATATAATTAAATTCACGGTCGTATTTCAGTTAAAGTGCAAAAGTGTATACATACATTTAATTAACAGTTAGTGGTTAACCTAACACATTAAAGAATTATTCATTCCAGTTCCAGGTGCGAATAAACGTTTTAAAACGAAAAACATTTAAAGCGACGGAAAACACACGGCTGTTACACAAAAATAAACTAAAAGCACATAGTGTACAGCACACTTTTTATTACGCAAAGAAAAACAACATCAAACATCACACGCTACAAAATAAATAAGTTCTACAGGCATCTTAATTCATCACTTTATCTCATGAATTAGATGACGATTTGTTGTCACATTAAGAGTTCATACGGAACATCATGCCTCGTATCATAATGACTTGGCTAAGGGGTAAAATGCGCCCTCTATGAGCGTGCTCTCAAACTGGATAAAGCTGATGATACCAGTGCGGCTGAATATTAGGGTAATACCCGTCAAATGTCAAGTTGGAATTCGGCAAATGTATCTCACCCTTGGGTTCCCTCATTTTCTTCGGTTTAGGTGGCGGCGTAACTGATGACGGGGTTCTAGGCGGGGGAGGTAGGACACGCCTGAAACAGAAGATATCCCTCACTTTCTACAGGTATTATAAATGTACTCTCTGATGTCAGGGGACTCTAAATTAGTATACAAAATTAAAGTATATGCTGTTACAGACTACCGTACTAGCGCGCCCTGTGATCAGAGAGTATTTTCATTGATAGATGTCACACGTAAATTACAAACGCGCACACACACGCACACAATCGCAGTGAGAAGGATAAGAAGAATAAAGGCCCTACAGAGAGAGAGAGAGAGAGAGGGAGGGAGGGAGAGAGAGAGAGGACTCACGTCTGTATAGGGGGTAATTGTGTCACGTGGTGGATCACGGGTTGGGGTTGTGGTGGAGGTGGCGCCTCCTGTCTCAGGCTGTAGTGATGATGGTGGACAGACGCTGGTCTGTCATTCTTTACCTTGAGGAGAAATGCACAATGAACATCTATTCCTATGAATATCTCATCTTGTAATTTTTTTCAATTATAAAGAATACAGACTGACATGTGAACAAACAGACAAAACTTCAATTTTCCCATATTTGGCATCTCATTCAAGCAAAAAAAAAAAAAAAAAAATTCGGGTAAAAGAACCTCCTTTACCCGAGCAAACAAAACAGAAGACAAGGGCAATTTTACTGTAATATGTAGTATGCCTGGTTTGGTCCCGCATTGTTCATTCTTCTTGTTTGTGTGGAAGAAAGGAAGGGGGAGGAAGGGATAACTCAGGGGTCACGGGAGGGGCACGTGCTCTCTGTGATCCCCTAGACCCGCCATAAAAAATCAACTTACTGTTAGAATCTGTGGCTGAGGCGGTGGCTGGGGATACTCCGGCGGGTAGAGGTTCAGGGGGACCGTAAACTGTGGGACTGACTGTTTCGTTGAAGAGTTACTTCCAGAGAGACTTGACATCATCATCTGCTGCATCATTAGCTGGTGTAGCTGTGCGTTCTGCATCATCAACATCTCCATGAAATCTACGTAGAATATAGTTCATTTAGTGTCAGGAAAATCAGTATTATTTTCAGCATTATTTTCTTTCCGTGAGCATTTGATACTATATTAGTAGTATGGACACGATTCAATAGAGCATCGATCTCAAAGTTAAGGTTCAATAGCGTGTAACAAATTCAGCAGCATGACTTTAAGTGTTTTTTAGCTGTGTCCGTCATATCAATATATTCCAAAAAAGATTCTATCATTCAGTTTCCAAATGCAGTCTGTGATGTTAAAAAGATGTTGACTGTAAATTGTGTTGTAGAGTGTATTTCTGTATTACGTTCATCATCAATAATAATACATATTCCGAAGACCTGAAATGTTTCGCAGATAACGTGATAATTCCTCAGACCCACCTCCTTTATTAGTCTTGGTGCTGGTGTCGGCTGGGAAGGGACCCTGTTGTATCACCTGGGACGGAAACTGTGGTGGCAGCGGTGGGACGTACGGCTGAGGAGGAGGTGGTGGCTGCGGTGGGTTCTCTATGGGTCGTAGTCTCGGGGCCACAGGACTTATGGGTTTAACTTGATGTTCAATGATGTGTTTTGTGGAATAATCTGATAAAATAGGGTTTCTGTCAATTAGCAGAGCAGAGTGTGATTTATGTTATCAAATAATGAAGTTTGGGGTAATAAAACAAGATTTATGAAGCCGATTCTGATATTAGCTTTCTCCATACCCGTAGGCATTAAAAGGTTTCGATTGAACGCAATATTATCACCTTAAGATTCTGCGTGCTCTTTATCTCGATAAAATCAAACGATTCTGATTTTTAAAAATACGCTATCAGCTTACATGCTAGTTAACAGATATCATATCTAAGTTAAGATTCTGAGAAATTTCTCACCCGGTAACGACCGTCGCGATGGTGGCGGTGAAGGTGGCTTTCTCTTCTTACCACCGTCTGACTTTGGTCGACGTAATCGGTCATTTTCTTGCTGCAAAAAAGGGCATTTCAATAAAAGAAATTCTCATATTTTGTCTTTTCTTTTTTAAAATAATAAGGTTGTTACCAAAGAAACAAACGATTAAATAAATAAATAAATAAATAAATAAATAACAGTAAGGGTGTTATTACCCTGATTCTGTCCAGAAGTTCCTGCCTCCGTAGAACAGCTTGCTGTAGTCTGAAATGATGGTCCTTGTCTGTGGGACCGTCCTCTGAAACAGTCCAAATAATACCATTTCAAATATATTATTAATTTTTTAAAGAAAAACTACTTGCTTATATAGTCAAACTGGTTATTAATTACGCTTTTACGGTAGTGCAATATAAAAAGTTTCATATCGCTCTCTACAAAATGTGTTGGGACAAATTTTTAGAAGAAATACTTTCGTGGAAAAATATTAGAAACAAATTTTAAGACAAAACGATACCTTGGGGCGATGGAGATCTCACCGCCTTGCCCTTAGCCCTGGCCAGTTTCTGAAAGTTGTATGGAATTGTGTGATAAGATGTGCGACTATCAGAGATAATGTAGCTCTGTTTGTCAAGAAGAACATCTCATTATTCAAGACACCATGGTAACATTTCAGAGTATAGGAAGATGCGTGCACAGATATGACAAATCCTGAAGAATTGTTATGGTTTTTCATTTAATTTACTAACAGGGATCAGACATCTATTTTTCCGTCTGTTGGTCTATCCATCCATTCGTTCATCTATCTATCTATCTATCTGTCTATCTATCTATCTATCTATCTATCTATCTGTCTGTCTGTCTGTCTGTCTATCTGTCTGTCTGTCTGTTAATCAGAAGCATAAATAATAATACCACTAGAAGTTCTTTTTTAATTCAAAACGGTCAAATAATATTCGTTGTTCAGGATCACCTGTCACTTCTGTCGAAATACCAGTACAAGCAGTGACGTGTGTCTTAGTATAATCCCCGCGTTGGAAATATCCAAACTTTATATTGATACCTGTGGGTTATCTTCATATTACATGACTTATCTTTCGGTTATGATATACAGTGTGTGTGTGTTGTCTGAACTGTGATGTTTTTACCATAGCAACTTGTGTATAACATAATAAGACATTCAAACATCTACGGGAGGCACATCTCATTCAAACATCTCGTGATAGGTCAGTAGTTTGGAGGGGAAGTTTGGGTCATGGCGGTCATTTGTTCCCATTTAGAACCGGTCAGTTTACAAACTTCGATCTAAATCATTAAAATTTTCTTGAGGGAGGTAATAGTCGAGGCGTTTTATAGGGGAAGCCTTTTTCTGTTAAATATTTTGATAGATTTTTTGATTGCTTATTCAAAGGTAAAAAAATCATTAAAAAACAAATTAAAAAGTATGACATTACGCACGTCAACCCCTATACTGAAATCGACGAGGGGATTTGGTTAACTAAATTTTGATATACTAGTTCAGCTGAATAACCCACGTATCTTCTTTACTCAAACACTTACATTAGTGATTAAAGTGATTAAAGATAGGGCGGAGAGATGACAGGTTATTTGAACAGGTATACACTTCACTCTACAGTCAATAATCCACAGATATCACTTTTTTTTCTAGCCTATTTTGCCCTTGTCTGGTATCCTGACTTATACCACGTAGCATGAAAACTCATGTACAAATGACCCACAAATAGTACATGTCAGAGGCCGTAAATAGGAGTGCCAACGCGTGAATTGTCGTGCTATTTAAAGGAGGTCACTGATGAACACTTATTTCTATATTAGGGGGAGAGGGGGGGGGGTCCAGTAACATGCGCTGAAATTTGGGGGGCTGTTCGGAGACAGCTAGGTCTGTACAGTGGTCACATTTTGTGATAGGGCCTACTTCTTTAGAAATACGAAATATATGAATGAAATATTGGAATACAACCATCAGGTTTATCTAAACAGTACCGGCCAATTGTTCATATTCAGAGGTGTTTTGCTTTGGTCCCAGCTGTTCAGTTAATTAAGACACCCCCTATCCCATGCATTTTAAGGCGGTTGGGGTTAATCAAGAATAAATCAAATACCTTTTCACGCCAACTCTCACACAGTAACCGTCCTTTTAATTTATTTAAGAAGATATGGTGTATGGATTAAGACATTTTGGTGACTTCTTTCAAAGTTTTTCTTACCTGTTGCACCATTTTCAGTCTGAGTCTTGCGATATGCTCGTGAATGTTGTTATCCGTTGCCGCCATTGTAAAACTATTACTGCACGTTACCTCAGCTACCAAGTTAAAAGTATAACCCGCGTCCTGTATTTTAACTCCTCTCTGGAATTCTACTAGTTCACGATCTTTCTGGCTTGAATTAGCCTAGACGTGTTGAACTGAACAAGCTTTTCAATCGGCCTAATATTCCTTATCAGATCATCATTACGTCACAACGTCAAGTCAGATATGCTGAATTTTCATGTCACAGTCCTAAGAGAGGAATCACTCTACGCCATACTGCAAGCAAGTTTCTGCTGGAATCTGAAGCACTCCTACTTTACCCATAAAGGCGTTGCGGTTACTAGAACTGCGTTTTGGTGCTTTGACTTATTACTAAAACAAAGCCCTCGACCTAGTTACTTATGTGGAAATACGCACGAGGGGCGCGTTATGGAAACAAAAGTTTTGCATGGCAACCGCGGTAGTGCTGTTTAAATTCTAGTAAGCGCTTAATGGGCATTAAGTCATAGTTTATCAACTTGAGAAGTTGAAACGTATCTCTTGAAGGCTGGGTGAAAGAGGTCACTGATACAAGGTTTTCCTTAATATCTGAGGGAGAGGGGGAGAAAAATATGACATAGTTCAATGTGTTGATTAGTTTTCTTTTTTTTTTCAGTGGCCAATGCTTCGTTTGAAGGTTAAAGTCCAAAAATGTTCGTATTTTGGAGCAACAGTTGAATTCATTTTGCCGGACCATAATATTCATCAATTCCCATCAAGAGCGTAGTTGTTTTATTTCGTTGATTTCGATATTTTTCTTTTCTTTTAAACTTCTTCACTTGAGATCCTTTATTTGATGATGCCAATCCACAATATGATCGGCGAGTGGAGATTGCCTGTAAATTTACATGAGCACACGTGCTGCCGACTGCGCCGTGATTTTATATATATATATATATATATATATATATATATATATATATATATATAGAGAGAGAGAGAGAGAGAGAGAGAGAGAGAGAGATTGTGCACCCAGCTGTCCCAGCACCGACCCACCGAGTTGTTAAGTGCCAGTACATTGTCTCAACTAACACATTCTGTATTGTGATAACAGCTTTCATATATTTCTGTCTGAATTTTCATATTTATTATTAACATTCGATAGCAAGTTTGCTCAGTATTTTTGTGAATTCTAGCAGGCAGATGTTTCAAGAGGAATTATTTCCTTTCTGGAAGTCTGACTGCCTGTTTTTGTTTAATTACTTTCTCCTTGCACAATTTAATTCTCAATTTGATTCCACTGTTTTTGTATTGCAAAACCTAACGTTAACTTGCCACATATAATTAAATTATAAATGAAGAAAGATAAACAAGTAATGTTAATTAAAGTTTATTCTGATATCAAAACAAATGTACAAAAACTGGCTGTTTTCTGTGCCAATCTACCCTTACATACATACATACATAATATAATTTTTATATATAGATACATAAGTATCCCATATAGTGTTCAATACTAAGACAGACATTTGGAATATAATAAATAAATTAATTGTACTATCTGTTTTTATGTTGCAGGTATTGTATAGCAATTATTACAATGATAAATATATCTGCTTATGATATGTGTTTTCAACATTCACATTGACAGCTATGTGATAAGAAGAATATGCTGTAAAATATATTAAAACTTTCATAAAAAACTTTTAAAGGCATGTATAAAATTATACAATTACTTATGATACATTTCTCTCTTAAATATGCAGATGAAAAGTATCTAAAATAGGAAACAATAGTACTTATTGCTCTGCATAATTTTTTAATGCCCTGCATTTGGTAACATCAAAATCATCATGTTCCATATTATGAAATGACCAAAAAAAAAAACTATATATATTCAAAAGTAATTTCTGGACATTCTGTGGACCTGTCAATTTCACATCATGTTTACTACTTCCAGGTAACATGCAACTGCACACAAAATGAAGGGCTCTCTTATTGGCATAGAAGTTCATGAATGCGCTAGTTGAGACAAATCACCACCATATCTCAACCAAACACAATGCAGCTATCTCACCTCCCCCAGTGACTGTATCCTTCAAGCCTGCAGTATGCAGGATATTTTAGATATTTCCATTTGTGTCATCACAATGATAAAAGTGTCTTATGAAACATTCCTTACACACAATGCCAGCATTTGTGATCATATTTAACCATTTTATTTGTTAAACAGATCCACCTCTGGGGTGTCAAGAAGGACTTTACGCCCAATGCATTACAGAATACATATGATCTACAACACACAATAAAACACCTTTATGCAGGCAAATCCTTATTCAAACTAGACTATTGGAAACCAGTCTTTTTGGTATTTAAGTATGCAATTGAACCGCAACAACAACCCCCTCTGCTTTTGCCCTTCTGTTGGTGTTTGGGGCAATCATACTTTGAATAAAAAGACTTGCGGTTAGCAAATGCCTACCTATAATCCTCGTTATGTAGTTATCAGCAAAATAATAACAGAAATTCCAATATACAGTCATAATCAGTTACCTGCAACTAGGATTAAAGAAGTTTGGATTCTTAAGGTCACTCTGACTTTTTAAAGACATTTAATTTAGATTTCACCAAACTCATGAATGGTATGAAGACTCTATTAAGTTTTCTTATTTTTTTAGACTAGGTAGTATATCATCAAAACAGTATTTGGCAGAAATGTAAAATGACAGCTTGAACCAGTACTCCTCATGGCATTTCTTGTGCAAATGTAGCCCTTGTAAAATGTATCTGATATGCAGGCCTTTACTTATGCTGCTATAAAATGAGTTGTGCAAACATTTACAGTGCAGTTTTATCACAACAATAATGATATTGTAAAGGGACTCAATTAGAATAAAACACAGTCTTATACAGGGGACTGAAACGTGCAAAAAAAAATCGGCACCTTTGTATTTAAAAATAAAAAGTCCTCATCAGTTATCAGTTTTTTTTACACAAGTTCTTTGGAACAAACCATACTGCAAGAGCAAACCCAGAAACTGCTTCTAGGGCAGGTCTGTCTGTCCAGGGGGGGAGGGGGGAGGAGGAGGGGACTGATCCAGTAAACTAGATAACCCACATATAAACAGGACTTAAAGATATTACATACCATGACTCTTTCTACACTATATTACATGACATGAACACTATCAACAGCCTCTGGCTGGGTGTTACCATAAAATAAAATCAATGTACAATTGTAGCTATATTACATATCACATAAAGGAAATTTAAATAAACTAAACCTTTACTTATATAAATGCATAATTCGTCCTTTTATTCTACAACATCCATCTGAGTGGATCAAAAGATGACGATGGCATTGCATAGCCTGTGTGATGGTAATGTATGTCCTTCCTTCTTAAAGTTTATGACTCGGTATTCCAGGTATGAAAAACAAACCCTCCTTGCCTGAGAAGTATCAATCCCCAATCCCATTTTAAAGGTGTTCAACTTCAGTGAGGAATACATCCAAACATTTGAACTGGGTCTTTCTGTGGTTAATGGTGAGTCCCTGGGGGGTCAACCCCTGGGTTTCTGCTGACCAGGGCTTACATTTTTAATTAATAATATGCCATGTGTACTAACATGCTGGTACATTTGGTTTTTTCCCCAACCAAGGTTCTAAGGGTTTTGTGATGGCTTCACATCTTAAGAATCAAGATGATTAATTCAAAAATCCATTTCAGATTGTGTCTGAATGACCCTCACATTATCATAGATACTTTCAACAATTATTTTCCACGTACAATTCTGACCCTGGAATCACACATTTTAATCCACCAAAGAACACAAGCATCAACTTGTATACAAAGGAATGAAATATGATGTAAGCGGCTTTGAAGCCTACAGACACACGGTGTCATGAACCTGTGGTGTTGTGTATTCCTTTGAAAAATGGAGGTACCCAGTGAAATGTGGATGGCTCACATTACTGTCAGTAGAATCCAGGATTTGTATGCTCAATGATACATCGCTTGCACAATTTTTTCACCGTCCTATAAGCATCCACCGTAATATGGCAGTCTTGGATGTTCAGCTGCTGCAAATGGCGGCACTTTTGAGCAATAGCAACAACCCCGCTGTCAGTAATGGCATCACACGATTTGAGACTGAGTTTCTTAAGCTGAGGGCAATGTTCTGCTAGGATCTCTAGGCCTTCGTCGGTTACATCACACTTTCCGACGTCAAGAGATTTCAGTCTCCTACAATTCTCTGCCAGTAGTTGGAGGGCATCGTCAGAAACTGCTTCGCACCCACGAACATTCAGGTAGCGAAGCTTCTTGCAGTACTTGGCGATGTATTTGACACCTACATCCGACACTTTATCACACTTTGCAACACTGAGATAGCGTAAGCTTGATCCCAGCTTGGAAAGTTCCCGTAATCCAAAATCAGTCACCCTGCGACAGTCGCTAACACTGAACTCCTTGAGCATTGTGCAATAAAGTGCTATGGCTTGGACGCCAATGTCTGTAATCCGCATGCAGCGCCGTAAGTACATGTACTGTAGCTGCGTGCAGTGGGAGGCAATGATCTTGAGTCCAGAGTCTTCCAGGGCGTAACAATCCGTCATGTCAAGATGGCGGAGGTAGATAGTACAAGGGTTCTGGCCATATTGCAGCTTGGCGTCTGGTGTCAGACTAATACATGTGATCAGGGCACAACCTGGAAATTCATGTCAGAGGATCTTCTTTTAGTTTGTGAATAATTATGGCAATTAGAGAAATATGATTATTTTTAAAGAAAATTTAAAATAAATTGAAAATGTTGCATTTCTAAAGAGGTTTCATCATTAAATTAGACAAACAAAATCTACAACTAAAACTTTTTTTTCTGAGTAAATATGTAAAGTATTTGAATCTTGAAAATTACATTAAAAAAAAGTGTGAAATGGATAGCATAATGTTAAAATTTTACAAGGAAAAATAATAAAAATAAACTTGTAAATGTTATCAGTAACTTAAAAATACTAAAAACAATACATGAGTATGTAATTGTATATACTGTATATCCCATATTTTCATTGTTAAGAATCCCTCTCCGGCCACTTCCTCACCTGTGACATTGAGATGTTCTAGGTTGGTGCACCTTGAAACCACCTCAAACAGCGCCAGATTGGTAATATTGGCACAGCCTTGAATTTCAAGATGGCGGAGCTCAGGACAGCGTTTGGCAATCAAGTGAAGCCCCTTGTCAGTGAGTCTCTCACAGCTGTTCATGTTAATTTTCTCCACCATAATACAGACGTGAGGCGTATTATAACTAAGTCTGCGAGTCAGAAATTTTAAGGCACGATCAATATTGGCAATCTCATTGTTAATTGTGATTTGTGTCCATAAAGACGGCTCCCAGACCAGCGTGTACCAGCGCTTGCACACGCGGGCACACCGACACAACTGGTCCGTGGGAAGATGCTGGAATATCTTGAGTATCACATCGTCAGGACACAGATCAAACAGTGACAATCGGTGCCTTTTCTTCTTGGCCCCAAAGTACATATTCCCATCAAACACTGGTGATGGGGTCTGCGCGTGAGGGTACCCGGCGGTGTGTGGGTACCCATAGTACCCCATTAAGTCTAAGGAGGGACTATAACACACAGGCTCAATCATGGGGGACATGTGACCCATCATGGGCGACATGTGACCCTGAGAGGGGGGCCGGGGCGCGGGAGATTGTCTCTGAAGGTGATTGGGACTTCTCAATTCACGTGCATAGTATGGGTGAACCTTGTCAATGGGGACTTTGTCTAGTGTGTAGTAACTGCCGTTTCTGTCAACGGCGTACAATCCAGAATGCTCAGCATATCCGTTTCTGTCCACATATTTCCCAGCATTATCCGGGTATCCATTTCTATCCATGTACTTGGCTGGATTATCAGCATATCCATTTCTATCCATATGTCTGTTTTCAGGATATCCACTCCTGTCTAAATGTCTAACAGGGCTTTCTGGGTATCCATTTCTATCTATGTGTCTGTTGGGACTTTCATGATATCCATTTCTGTCAACATATCCGATCCTGTCAGCATGTCTCCCCTCCTGGTCACCTGGATATCCGTTCCTGTGGTCCGGATACGGTGCTGGGGACTCACGGTGATATCCGTTCAGTTTCTCACCACGCCCCTTGAGGTGATGTGGACTGGGCGTGAACATATCTGAGGCCTCCATTATGCCGCTATGGGCTGACATCCCAGAGGAGGGCGTATCCCGAGGGGACGGGACCCCATGGTGCGGGGACGGGGTGCCACGGTTGGTGGAGACGCTTGTTGAGGAGCGGTAATGGGGGCCATCGCTGGCGATACCTGAGCTGGAGTCATGGGGGCTCTCAAGGGGGGCCAGGTTGTCTGGAATGAAAGGAAAAAACATATGAAATCAACTTGACTTTGGATCCACATAAAACCAAGTATAGTAAATCCAATCGGTGTAAAAAGGTTGTATGAGGTTATTCAGACTTCCAGGTGAAGAAGGAAATTTCATAAATTCAAAACCCATTAAAATATTTTTCTCCATACACCTATCCAAAGAATTTTTATTGATGTGAATCTCACATACCCACTGGGCTGCAGTATTTACGTAAGCAAAAAGAAAAAAAAAAGTTCTATTCTTAGATAATGACTTTTGGAAATGCCTTTGTTGTCTGTCTCTTATATACAGACATACCGCAATGACAAATTTTCAGGTTTTCGTGTCATTTAGGATAATTTCAGCTTTGGCAAGCACAAGTACAAAACACATAAATAACCCTCACATTTGCACACAATGGGGTATATCTAACACATAAATGCCCGTGCCAGTTTTTTAAAGCTTTTTTTCAACTGACGGGATGTATATCAAAGGTGGCTGGACAAAAGTGGAGCCGTAACATGAGGGCTCAATCCCGCTGTACCTGCGTTACCTGAACGACTTGTCATTCACATGTAATAAGCAGGTTTGGATAGTTTATGAAGCTTGCTTAAGGTGTGCATTTAATAGCCGGCACCTGTCATGAATAAGGATGAGAGAGAGAAAGAGAGAGAAATAGAGAGCAAGTGAGAGAGAGAGAGAGAGAGAGAGAGAGAGAGTGAGAGAGTGTGTAAGTGAGAGAGAGCTCTGAATAAAAATGTGAGAAAGAATTCATAAAATATTTCAATTATTGTTGGCACTAAAGATACAATGTAACCAAACAAAAAGTGCCTGTCAATCTTACAGATCTTGCTGCATGATAAAAATACCTAATATGCCTAATATGCGGGCCCTAGCATTTTTTGTCAAAGTAAATTCCACCGCCTCGTTTGCCATCTTTTCAAAATAGAAAATCTTAGCATGACTAATAACGCCAAGGCGTTTGATCCAGAATGAAGACACAATGTATGCGAAAGCTATTTTGTTTTGACAAACAGTTGTGCAATAATCTAAAAGGAAATTCTTTTTATAGGCAAAATTATATGCTGACATGAAATGCTGCAGTTGCAATTTGTTTTCTTGTGAGAAAAAATAAAACTAGTGAATTCATCAGCATGATGTATTATCCACTAGCATCTTATTACTGTATTACGTAGTAGAAACTATGACATGATAAAAGTACACAATCAATTTCAATTAAAAATTCTCCATTGTTTGGTAAATGAAATATACTAAGTTTGTATAATCTATTTAAAAAAACAGAAAACATTTTTGGGAAATTTTCTCTTTGTTCGTGATACCAAATGACGAAAGTACCAGTAAAATCTCTGAAGCAGGAATCAATTTCAGTAATAATTCCAGGGTTGGGAACTCTCTGCAGGTAGAAGATTTCACCTGAATCTAGCAAGCAATATAAATGTGGCTAATTTCCAAGGACCCTTCTCTGTTTCCTGATTTTAATACCTGAATACCGTTTACCTGTCACAAACTGAGGCATTAAAAGCTTCCCTGACCTCAGGTGCTTCATAATGGGTGAAATGCTGCAGGTATAATGCTACAATACCTGGGAAATTCTGAAGGTCATGTAATAAAAACTATCTACTTGTAGTTTAAATTCTCCATCTTTCCAAAAGAGAGAGAGAGAGAGAGAGAGAGACTGGTGGGGGGGGGAGAGATAGGGAAAGAGAGAGATAAAAAGAGAAAGATACAGAGAGAGTGAGACAGCTAGGAGAAGTAAAAGAAAATGTATGTGCATGTATGTGTGTGTGAGAGAAAGAGAGTCTGTAAAGATATAAACAGATGGACAGACAGAGAGACAGACAGACACGCAGACACACAGACAGACAGACACACAGAGGGCATGCAGGCAGTCATACAATTCACTGCCCCCTCCTCATCAGCGTGACCCTCCCCTATCCACCCCCAGACACCTGCCACACAACATAGCCTGACTCTATTGTAAGTCATCAAAATGAAACCCGAGCTCAAAAAACTGGTGTCCTCAAATTATTCCACAAAAGGTCAGGCATGATCTCAGACCCATTTTCTAATACATTGCAAAGGATCATTTATATCTGCTGAGGGCCCTGAACATGAGTATGTATGGTGTGATAGTCAGGGATCATTGGCAACACTAAAAATGCAATGTATAGGAGCACTGGCTATTATTATATGTAGTTGATGAAAACCTTAAACATGTGTGACATACACAGTGAATCAGTCCAGGGTCTTTTTATATTGATATCATACGGGGCCGCTCTGACACTGAATTCTACCTGTATGAATTAAGAAGCATTCAACACTACTTTATACCAGAGGCCACTAGAACTTTAAAAAAAATTCTATACAAAACTTCTTGCTGCATAGCACACCGATGAGACTGCCATTTAGTGAAAAAGTTGTAAAATATGGCTTGAGGTCCAAGGGGGCACCTAAGTCAATGATATTTTGGGTTTCTAAAAAGAAATTGTTCAATGGTCTGAAAAATCTCATCCCTATCAGTAGAGAAAAGTGAACATAGAATTAGCTAGAGACATATATCTGTGAATATCCAGTGAATAGTTTTAATTTGGAAGTAGTGGACAGTTTTAATGCAAGTCAAAATTCAGAACATGTTGGGGGTGAAGGGGGGGGGATAGGAGAGGGGGTGGAGAGGGGTTGAAGGGGGGATAAGAGAGGGGGTGGAGAGGGGGTGAAGGGGGGATAAGAGAGGGGGTGAAGGGGGATAGGAGAGAGGGTGAAGGGGGGATAGGAGAGGGGGTGAAGGGGGGATAGGAGAGGGGGTGAAGGGGGGATAGGAGAGGGGGTGGAGAGGGGGCACCTTAAGTAAAAACAAGCTGTCATATCATATGTAGTTTATGGTATAGAAAAATAAAGAGACATAAATTTCCTTCTCGTTTCAATGACAACAGTGTGAGAGCACTTGAAAATTTTAATTTGTACTGGCACCCTTTTATCATAATGTGTCTTTAAGAGTGACTTATCACCCTGCACCACTCCTTAATGTTACAAATTAATGTGTTGAATATATTTGGTCCATCATAGACATTTAAAGAATACTATTCATGAGTTTGTATGGCCCTTAACACTGCTATACTGACAAACTGTTTTCACATGATGAGAAGCATGTTTTTAAACTATAGACATATAAACTACTCATTTGTCTCATTTTCAAATTTTTTTTTTTATGTATCTTCAGCAACAATTTAAATCCACATTTCTACATTGGCTTCACCTGTTGGTATGCCTGTCATTTAAGGACTTACCTGAATCATCAGCAGCATCAGAAAAGGACAATGTCCTTGCACTAGAGGTAATAGCAAAATACATGACGCTTGTTACTTATGTCTACCAATTACTGGGACTGTTGACGTCAAGCTTAAACAGATGCACTCGTAGTTCAACTTTGGTCAATATCATCATTCCTATCTGTGACTTGTAGTCTTCCAATAATTCGCACAAATTTTTGACATACTGCTGAAGTTTTACAAAGTTGCCATACATGTCATCCATGAAAAGATAGACCACTGAAGTTTTAAAATGGTTCAAACTTAATGACGGGACTGACATGCAATCACCTGACTTCTAAACCAGCACCTGTAGTCCACAATAGTTCAGTATATCGAGGAATGCTCCACTTAAATCAAGGCTCATCATTCTCATGTGAAAATAATGTCTTCAGGTTAAAGACAACAATGCTCTGCATTCAAATCGCGTGTCTGATAATCTGATAAATCATACATTTGTATCAGAGATGAGCACGGAATATGGCCATCTGTCAGTTGCTTTACATATCAAATGTATGTTGTGGGCAAAACACATATATGGCCACAGAAACTGTGACCTTGAGAATATTTTCGCAGTAAAAAAGAAAATCTTGAATTGCTGTTTCTCAGTAAGATAAGCTACAAGACAGGCAGTAAGGACTTGGAACTCTGGGACTAACTATCCACATCTGTCCCCGATATTATTTCAGCCATCTTTTCCACCATCAATTTTCCGATATATTCCTTAATTCTGACATTTTTTTTAGTAAAAACTTGCTTTTTGCTCTGTGAGGTACATATAGTCTCTCTGTAATTATATACATTAAACACTGTCAGACATGTACTTCAGCAGACATATACTGTAATGGTCATGATGTATAGGACGAATCTCTCCAGTGAAGCAAATAATTTAATACAGCTTGTCAAAGCAATGTCCCTAACAGCAAAACAACAAAGGAAACAGATTGAATTCTCCCGTTTTAAAATCACTTGCTGTTGACTTGATAGCGTTGTGGTGACATCTTTGTCCCCTCGGGGTATCTCCCCTTTGAGTTCAAACATAAACTATAAAGTATGTGTGAGTGGGTGCTTGCCACAACCTGTCTCTCTTCGGCTGATGGTGCATTAACGTCAGGCAGATTAAACTCCTCTCCTCCTGAATAATGATTATCCATATATAGCGCGTGTTGTCCAACTTTGCATCATCTCATCCTTTTCTGTCTCAACAGGTGGGCTATATATAGAGGTGCAACATATTTATAACTGCACACAACAATGCAGACTAGAGTTTCTTCCTACGTTTGAAGGATTAATCCCAGATTTAGATCATTAATGTTGGATTCCCTCTCAAAACTGTGACAGCAAGACTCATGTTTCCTTAATCACTAAATCACCTGGCATGAAGCTATGTACAATAATGAGAGTACAGCACTATCCCTGTAATGTTGCATGTCTTAATTGGAGCTGGAATGTCTCAATATTGCAACCCGCCAATTATCTCACCACAACCGCGTCTTAATTCAGGACACCTGTATGGCGGAATTCCTCTCGCTTTCATCCACAGAGACAGGTAGACACTTAACGCAGCCTAGGCTTACTTTTTTTTAACAGTCTCTACATATTCAAGTTATCTCAAGAGCTGATCCCCTTGATTCTTTTTCAAACTGCTGAAGACGAAATGACCTTCCTGAGCCTCA